TGCACACTGCAACTCTGGTCAGATACGCACCCTAGCAGGCCACTATCAGCGTAAATCAGTGCCAGCATGAGAAATAATGGCACATGTTCTGAGCAGGAACGTACAGCGAGTACTGATTCTTCTACTTTCAGGCTTATTGGCGTTTACAGACAAGACATAGGTGGAGTTTTTAGCTTTACTATTGGCTTAAAATGGAGACTTGTGTGTACCCTTGATAGGATTATTTTGAGATAACAGATCTGAAAGAAATATGAGGATAAGTACTATATGAACAACTTTAAAGCAGTTGAAGTTATAAAGAATAATTATATTTATAAAAGCCAAGGATATTTTCTGTTAAAGCAGTCCTCCGTTTTCTTTAAAAGATACAATATCTATTTTTATGTTTAAAAAAGAAACAGGCTCTCTTTTATAAAATACAAAACCTTTATCTTCAATTGATCTTCTGAGCATTGTATACCCTCAGTACTTTCAAATAAAATAATTAAGGATAAATTATTGATTTCCTTGATATTCCAGCAACTCCTCAACTAACTCCACTGTGCTGTAACTATAATGCAAATTCCACATTATACATATGTTTTCTCAGCATGAAACTGCTTTTATACACTGATTAGTACTAAAATCTGCTCTGCAGGAATAAAAGATGCGATTAGAATCAAAGATCTTTGTTTAAAGCAAAACAAAAGATAACATTTTAGCTGTAAAATTAGAAGAAGTAGTTTCGGGTAGAGAGATGACCACACAGTTCACCTCTGCTGCAGGACGCTTACATCTAATGGACTGTATCTAATGTGAGCATGAAGAGACAGTGAAGTCACACAAAGTTATGAAGTAAAATTATGCAGGTGTGTGTGCAGTTTAGCAAACAGCAAGGCTTTTTTCTCTCTCTCTGTGTGTGATGATTATGTGTTACTAAGCCATTTTGTCTGTGATTTTTCAATCAACCCAAATTGTTCTGGCTGATAATAGCACAGCATTTTTGGCATTCCGAAAAAGTATTGGGATTTACACCAGATCTTAATAAGCAACAGATTATGGACACTGAGTAAAAAATATCAATTTTATTATAGTCATTGATAGCAATACAACAAGGGAGAGAGCTTTGCAAAATAAGAGCTTATGTTTGGAGAAAAAAAAAAAAAAAAGAGGGTTTACTAAAGGGGGGGAGAAAAACAGAAAGGCAAAAGAAAACAGCAAGCATCCTCAGTGGAATACATTACCAGGACAGCAGAGGCATGCTTTGGATAAACCCTTCAGATGCCTTCAGTGTCCTCCTGACTTTCAGCTCGTCTCCAAAGAGACATGTTGTGTGCCAGAGAGCATTCATCAAATTAGACCAGAGAGAAAACAATGTGAAAACCCACGGCTCTCCATAGAGACATGCCGACAGGTTATCACAGAGAAGGTGTCTCTTGCTCTCGAGCACCGGGGCAGCAGCACACAGCATTCTCCCTGAAGAGCAGCCCTCCCCTCCCCTCTCCTCCCTCTCCCTCGCCCTGCACAGGCTAGAATTAGGAGGGGAAAACATGTATTCAGGGGAGAAGTGTACAAATGTAGTGCATTACAGTTAAAACCACCCACTTCATATAGCGGTTATTAGAGAGTGGCACCGGCCACCGCAATGTAGTTGAGTATTAGTGAGGAGCAGATAAGTGTTTGTAGGGCTGTAGATAACCTGGTGTCCAGCAGAATGAGACTGCTGACTAAGCTGTAGCAAGCACATGCAGAGCACGGCTTGGCCTGGACATCTCATTAAGGAGGACCATTATCAATCCTCTCAGATCGAAAACCAGCATGACAGTGCTAAAGAAAGCACCGGGGCTCCTTTGGCTGAGTCAGGCTGGAATTTCCTTTCCTCACATCTTCTTTGATGGTTCAATCAGTGCATGAGCCAAGGTCAGTCGATAGATTTACTTCTCTAAAAGGTTTACTAAGATTTATTTGTCTTTGTATATAAAACTCCTGCCAGGCACCTAAAGTACTGTATTTGAAGTGACACTGTACTTAGAAACTATAAACATTTTAATACACTTTGTACGGACACTACAAGCAGCTTTCTCTTGACAGCATTTCTTTTTCTTCTACATTTTGTGCATTTCATACTCCCAACTGTCTCCCCAGGTTTTCTTAGTGCATCTTATAGGAGTGTGCTCTCTGCTGCTCAGAGCACCGGCAGATAAATGAGCTGTGCTGTAGGTTCACCGTGGCTTCAGCACTTTACCGCTAGATTAATGATGCTTTGCAAGCCCCAAGCCTTTGCTTTTAGCATTTTAGAAGTACCTTCATAAAATGAACTACAGGTACATCTTGTTTATACGCTTATCTATTGGGGCATCTTTCCTGTGGGCATGATGCGGTTTGCATCAGTAAATCTGACTCTTCCGAGCTAATGAACCCTCCCCAAAGCCTACAGTATTTCTGGAAAACTTTAGAAAAAGATGCCATTTAAATGAGAACACCTACAGTTGTTTTGTTTTGTAGTTTTTTTTTTTTAAACTCAAAATAACTGCAGTGTCAAAATATCACATGAATATCCAGTGTTATTTAGGACATCTCCTTTAAAAAAAAAACAAAAAAACAATCTCCTAAGATTTCAGTGTCCTTTTCTGGCATCTCAGCTAAGCTACCTGTCAGTTTTCATCATAGTGGCTAAATTGCATGGTAAGCTCCTCACATACTCCACATTGAATTGTCACGGGTGAAAAAGAAGCCAAGCATTGGAGGAGGACACCATGAATTGGTAATGTTATTGGATTTCAACCAGGTCATGACCACATCAAAATGTTGACCTACACACTAATCCTAGATGGCAGACTGATGCCCAGTAACGTGATATTATTTTAGTGTTGATTCAGAAGCTTACGGCCGCTACACACACAAGATTAATTTGAAAGTGTGGCATACGGTTCAAATCATGATAGAATAAAAGAACTGGACTTAGACGTGGCCTGCACATCCTCCAAACTGCCCTTGGAAGGTGAAATGACTTTATTTTATGATATTCAATCTGACATCTTGTCCATTGCACACCGGTTATTGGTTCGTCGATGTATTTCCAGCCTTTACAAGCAAAACAGAAGAAGAATGAATGTATCTGCATCTCATCCAAAACTGGATTCATTGTCTATACCTTTAATTACAAAATCGAACATTGTCTTGTAAAGAGATAAACAAATATCCATATGCATTATTGGATTTCACTGTGGTGAAGGAGTTGAAGGCCTCATCATGGCGTTGTGACCTGAATGAGAGACAGAAACATATAAATATGAACGGGCATACACCTCCGCTTAGGTTATTCTATGGGGAGTTAACCTACATCTAGTACACCCACATCACATTGCTTCCTCTTCTCTGCTTGCAAATAAATCTGAAGGACAGAGTTGAAGGGAGAGAGAATGGAGAAGAAAGATGTGAGAGGTAGAGAGAGAGAGAGGATGAGAGTGGTAAGGTGGGAAGAAGAGAGAGGCAGTATTGATTCCTTGATTCCCGTACCTCTGCCAGTGAGTGCAGAGTGTCAAGATCTCCCGCCAGGAAAAACAAATCACAAGGCTGAAGTGATGGATGTGGCACTCCAGGATCCGGCGGTTTTGCCATCTGGATGGCCGACACTGTATATCAGCCTCATGCACAGCAAATTAAATTTACATTTGGACGGCTTCCCCAGGCCTCACCCGGCACAGATGCACCAAAAACAGCCCTCCACCACAACTCCCTTAATGGGTTTGATGTATCATTTCCAGGTCTATTATGTAAAGATGATGTTGGTTCATGTTCAGAATGTCAAAATGATGTTTCAGTCACAATAAAATTACATTATGCGCAGCCAAATGGATGTTAAGCAAAATGACATCACCTTTAATTTCCTTAAGATGAGTCAATACTAATCCAACTTGCAGATATATTTTGATGCACAGTAAAACATCAGTGAAAAAAAGAGCACAAATTAAATAAAAGCCAAAGTCCATCTTCATTTTTTAGGACGTGATATATTCCTTAACCCGCTTTTTAAATTTATTTTGTGGCAGCAATGAAAAAAAAAAACAAGTACATTAAGTATTGTCGAGCATGCATTTGAGGATTTAAAATTATTAGCACAAAAAGGATAAGTAGAGATGCAAGGCTAAATATATAGCAGCGGGTTATTCTGCTTAGTAGCACTGTGTAACAGAAAATCTAACCTGGCCCTGAAGAGGCTGCCATGCTTAAATGAAATGACCTTTAACGCAGAGCTGATCAAATGGCCTGAAGCAAGACTATTAAAGAACATTGCAGTATAATGTTTTACAGTGTACTTTTTTCTGGTCTTTTGTTTGCCCTTTCCCATTTCCCAAGATGGTAAAATGTATCGCGTTTGGCAGGTGAGGAAACCAATCTAAAATGGATTTGGTATTAGAGTAAATGTGGCAGCAGAATAATGAAGTACCAATATATATGCAATGATTTTGGTTTATTTTGGGTTGTTATTTTGTAAAAGAGATACTGAATCACATTGAAAGAAAAGGGGGGGTGAAAAAAAGTAGGGATTTAAACCTTTGCTGCTCTGCCCTTTGCTTTCAATCTCTTTTTCAAGCTTTCATGGCTGGTTGTCCTCTAAATGTCAGAGGTGTTTTGTGATGGCTCCTAACAATCCCTTAAAGGGCTATGCAAAGCCGCACAGCTGAAACACACAAATTGAGCATGCGAGTTGACAATTGTGCTGTGAACTCCAGCCTCCACTGTTCCTCAATAATCAGATCTCATTTCTGTAAGGGTAGTGTTGCTTGGAGAGCAGCGTAGCAGCTGCTACAGCGCCAGGCAGCATGTGACCGTGTTGACAGATGAATCCAGCAGCCAAACAGTGTAGCTGTCTGGATTCACATCTCATCTGCCCCTCTCTGCTTAACCTAACCCTCCAGTAACACAGCTATTGGTAGTTTGGAGTGGGATTCATTTTTACCCCATTGATGCAGCCAAGTGTTTCATGCCCTCACCACTGTGTGCCTCTCTCTTTTCAGACTACTGACGACTTGCTGGTGGCATCAGCCGAGTGCCCGAGCGATGATGAGGACATTGATCCCTGTGAGCCGAGCTCAGGTGGGTTAGGTTAGTCATCTCTTTTTATTCTACTTCTCTCTGGGTGTGTCAGTGTGTCTTTGTGTGTCATGGTCCACCCCCACCAAGAGACTCCAGGCTAGTGCACAGCGTGTAAATGAGCAGATTGGAGTTTTAGTTAAAGCTTGAACACTTCTCAGAGGCAGAGTTGTTCTTCTGGCTACCACTGAATGTATGATACAGCAAGCTGCAGGCTATCCATGAGGTCAGTCTGGGCAGCTTTCTTTCAGTCAGATTTTAGTGGTTCTAACAGTTCAGCGTCTAGAAATGTAAAATCTAAATGGAGTAAAAAAAAGAAAAAAAGCTTTTTAAAACAAGAAATTACACCAATTTATGATGATGGTCAAGCATCTTGGCCAACTGGTAGGTAGAAGTAGGTTCAAACAACAGTTCACCATTTTTAAGAAGCATTTCTTGCTTAGAATTAGATTGGATCGGTACCACTTTCACATCTGCTTGCAATTCAGTGTTGTACAATAAATATGGAAATAGAATCCATCTTCCAGCATTCCCAAAACTCACTAATTTACATGTTTATTCATTAACATGTCACAACATAACACAGGGTGTGGCGGATATTATTCAGACTGATGGGTTTCATAGCTTTCACTTCCTGTTCTGTTTTGATTGATAAGCCTAGAACCATTGTTCTCTTTCTTCCACCCATCACGATCTAGCTCGCCCAAACCCCAGAGTTTGTTTTTTTTTTTTCAGAACAATACTCTCCCTGAGAATTGCATGCATAACTAAAACTTCCCACTGCTTAAGGTGTTTTGTATGCATCAAAGCAGCTGTTATTACTGTGTTTTAATTGTGCACCTATTTGTCTTCATCAGCTCTTGGCATTTGTTAATTCACAACCAGGGGAGTTCTCAGAAAGACAGAAAAACACACAGTTGTAATTATCGGGCCCACATGACGCCAGCACATGATATGAAAGAGGGTAACTCTGGAGAGGAGCGTGTGAAGGCTGATTTTTACGGGTGTATAGAGGGTCCCCACTGTTGTTAATTAACTTCTGCGGCGGACAGTGGGAGTTCATCATGTTGTTTCTCATGTACAATTGTGCACAACAGCTGCACGGAGCGTCCCTTTGAGTGAGGCACATATCAGGTGTTTCTCATCATAAAACACATTTTGGTGTATATCATACCAACCGGAGCCCTGGTAAATTTAAAATTAAAATAACCACTTGTTGTTCTCCCAAACGTGTTTGAAAAATACTGCTTCCTGGCTTCACTCTGACAAATTGGGATAGTAAATCTGTTTGTTCGCTGCAGTGCCGCCAAACTTTTAATCTCTTACCTTGCCACACATGGAGGGCAATTAAGTCTAACCCTAGCGTCTGCCTATGAATAGAAGGATTTCCAAATGCATTCTGAAGTGATGAGAAGCACAGAGAACAATTAAGTCCAGACCCAAGGCCCCCCACTCCATCTAAATGTGCTATCGATCAGTATGTGGTCATAAAACCTCCACTAAATTAATGTCTGCCCCACAGCAAAGACTATCAACTTTCTAAGTCTGTCTGTCTTCCTGTTCCTCTAGCCTTCCACTTGCAAGATTAGCTTCTGCCACACTTACTCTTTTCCTATAACTCTCATACTGCACATTAAAGTGATATTCCCATTGGGCAGCATCACAATCGGAACCTCCAATATACATCTGCTACCTCTGACAAATACCGTACACAGGAGATTGGGCTGCGTACTGATTCGCGCTAGCAGCTTGCATTATGATATTTTTTGACAAGGGCATCTGCCAAAACATCAGTCGCGAACTGTGTGATGCTCAGGGACGCGCACTCCCAGCGCAGAGTATCCCTCTCCTTCTGTGATCACTGAAGGGGATTTGACACCAGAGCTGTGGGCTCCCAGGGTGGCAGCTGTCTAACACCGTATCCTGATTAATATCTACATTCACAACGATTCACACGCTCTGCCAAGCACTCACCACATCTCAGACAGGGTTGCTGTGCATAAAGAACAGGATACACCATCGCTGATAAAGTACTACTTTCTCATATTACTGTTCAGCCGACTCCTTTTAATGACACCAATAATATATCATTTTTCATGAAACACCTTGACAGACTGTTCTGTCTGGAAACTCAAAAGCAAAGGCCAGATGCTTGCACTTCTGATAGCTCTCACTCTCTCTCTCTCCGTCAACCTTGTGCTCAGGCGTCGCAGCACATGTACATATACAGTAGGATAATGTTGGTGCATAAGTGATCCCAAGAGGTGAGCTTTGAAACAGACTATTATAGCCGCGGTCCAAGGTCAGCTCTAGATCACTGTGTATCTCACTGGAGTCTTGTCCCACAGCCGTCGCTATCGGCTGTTGAATGACATGAATCAGAGGAAACTTACTTATTGCCGAGCTTTATTACTCTTACTTCCGGAAACCGTGGAAAGCCAGCGGTACAAGCAGAGCTTATCACCCGGCAGGGCTCAGATTAGATCATACTGCACCAAATTGAATCCTCCTCCCCTGGTTCAGGAAACCACAGAGGAATACACAGGCCCATGATGCTGCAACACATCTGATCTGCAATAGGAGGACGGCTCGGTGTTGTGCATATACTCGGCAGCCAGGCTCTGACAGCTGAATGCTACGATTACAGGCGCACACAATGTACCTATCTTTGTAACGCCTATGGTGACAATTGTTAAGTGAGCTAAAGTGTGCTAAGGCCTTTAGCTTCCATGTATCACCTTACCTAAGAGAGAAAAAGTATCAAAATACATGCAAATATTCTGCGTAATGACCTAACATGCCTCCGAGGGCAATTGTGTTTTTATAGAAATGTTGTATAAATTCTGACATTTAGCTCAATCGAGTCGTGCTTTTTCTGCAAGAAGAGATTGCTCACTTAAAGGCCACTATGAGATGTTGGCCAATCATCTGGAGAAAAAAAAATAAGAGTGGGCTTGGTTGGGTGAAAATAGCCTGGTGAACAGTGTGTTGAGATCACAGCTGCTGGCGCTGATTTTCCAGCTCTAGCATCAGTTTTCATGGTGAAAGTTAATGGGAAAGGTTGTTGCCGAGCTGCATGGGGTCAGATGGAACGAATGTCTCTTACCTACCTGCTTCATTTCATTGGCGTCATGCGGGCTGTTGATGGAGGGCAGCTGCTGCACAGCGACCCATATCCAAGGTTACATGGTTACATCCTACCACTGCCTTTGTTCCACATAATTTGCTCTTCTCTGAGCTAGTCCCCCATATTTGTTCGAATTGGCCAAAATGTAGTCACCAAAGTTGGTTGAGTCTTGCATATTTTACTCATAACATATTAAATGGATCACAGTAAAGTTGAGAAAAACATATACCTTGTATTATATAAAGTAATTTAAAATGTGTTAGTCATATAGCCTTTGACATGTGATAGTTTATTTTTCACAGCATTAAGCCTCCAAATTTATATTTAGACGAAACAAAATTATTTAGCTAAAATTTAATTCAAATATAATATCAAAGCGATATTTGGCATTTTGGGAACTAAATTTATTTGTGTTTAAGCAGAGAGTCAGTTAAGAATATTGGTCCCTTTTGTTGTCCCTTATGTCTGCATGGTAAATGTGAGGATGCAGCCAGGTAGAATAGAATAGAATAGAATAGAACAGAATAGAATAGAATAGAATAGAATAGAATAGAATAGAATAGAATAGAATAGAACTGTATTGATCCCTTTGGTGCAAACCTCAGGGAAATTATTGAGATAAGGTATCAATTGAATTTCCCTTCTGGGATAAATAAAGTATTTTTCATTTCATTAATTTCATTCATTTCATTTCATTTCATTCATTAAGGTAGTGTACCTTAATGCAAAAACTGAAAACAGGTTAAAACAGCTGGTTACACTAACCTCCAGCACTAACAAAATCCATCTAGCATCTTCACTAAAGCTTACTAATTAACACATTATATGTTTGTTTCACCTGTGTCATGTAACAGAAAGCTTATTTTCCAAAATAATTATTTGTGGCTCAGGTGATAGAGCGAGTCGGTCAATGATCGGAAGGTCGGTGGTTAGATTCCGCCCTGTAACCTGTGTCATGGTCGTTGTGTCCTTGTGCAAGACACTTCACCCACCGTGCCTGGTGTGAAGGCATTTGAATGGATTGTTTGAGGTGGTGGTCGGAGGGGCAGAATGACAGCTACACCTCTGTCAGTCTGCTCCAGGGCAGCTGTGGCTACAATTGTTGCTTTCCACCACTGGAATGAACGTGTGTGAATGAATAATTGACAGTGTAAAGCCACTTTGAGTGTCTAGAAAAGCACTATATAAATCGGATCTATTATTATTATTATTATTATTATTATTATTATTATTATTATTATTATTTATAGCCCATAGAGATCAACAGTGAACTATGAAAACAATAATGAAGTGATAGTACATTTTAAATACAGACTGATTTTCATAGTTCATAACTGGTGTAATACATTATTTTCACATATTTCACATATTTATTGCGCCATGCCACTACGACACTCCCTTAATTGTTACTTGATAACAATCTACATATTTTATGCTGGAAAAAAAATGATGAAGGAAAGCATAAGAAAGTTTGTCTTGTTGCTGACAGAATACACAATGTGTCTCCTCTGAACTTAGAATTCTCTGATCCCAGCCGCTCATGTGTTTTTTTCTTTGCACAAAGTACACAGAAGCAGAATGATATGTCCTATCACAACACTGATGCATCAGCTCGATGTTCTTTGCATCTTTTATATGTTTGCACCTTTGTTTTTCTACCATTCTACCATCATTAATTATGCAACGCGCAGTCATGTGAAATGTGATTTGTGTGAAATAAATAGGCACCCTGACAAATATAAGCTCCTACCGGCAGCCTCGGCGAGAGTTTCAATATACGCCTCATTCTACATTTCACAAATAATCTTGCGGTGCCTTTATTCTCAGCTCCAATAGCCCTTCACCGTGGATTGCCCATAGGCAGGTTAAGGTTAAT